TTTGCCACTTAGTCGCAGTTGAGGTGCCACTAGGAATCATCCCCGTTCCACGTGACTAACGTGCGCCGTCTCTTCTTGGGAAGGTCTCAGTTGGGTACACACTGAAGCCGTCTCCACCGAACGAGCGTTAGGGTCACTCTAGAATCTTCCGAGATGAAGCCCTTGCTAGTGCTATCAGTGCTGCTGATCGGTGGGCACCACGTCGACGCAGTGGGTGTGAGCCTATGCGCCGACGCCACGTACGACTTGCCGTCGAGTCGCGGCGCGGTGTGTTCGGGAAGTGGCGACGCACCGGCGGGCACTGCCTGCCCGTTGAAAGGGGACGCGGCCGTCGCCGACTGTCGCGCGTATCTACCGTCGTATGTCGCGGGCGAGGGCTGCGTAGCACCCGAAGACGCCGAGTGCCGGATCGTCATCGGGTCGACGTGGGGCTGTGTGCTGCCGTCCATCGGCTGCACTGATCCGCCTACCGAGCCAGGGTGTCCGACGTGGAGCGTGACCGGGACGGACGAGGCCGTGGACATTGACAATAGCTACCTGTTTGACGGGAATGAGGACTATGACGCGAGCTGGTTCGTACAGACGTCGGCGGTGAGGGAGCTCTACGACTGCGGGGAGAGGCCCACGGCGGCACCGACGGAGGCGGCAACGGTTGCGCCGACTCCGGCACCCGAACCGTCTACGGCACCTCCTACGGCCGCTCCAACGACGCAGGCTCCTGTACCGGAGACCACGGCTCCGATCACTCCAGAGCCAACGACAGAGGCTCCAGTGCCGGAGACTACTGCACCGCCGATCCAACAGCCCACAACGTCGGCACCTACGACACCTGAACCGACCACTCCGTGCCCAACGACGCCAGAGCCCACGACGCCGACAACGCCGGAGCCAACGACACCGGCACCCACAACACCGGGGCCAACGACTCCATGCCCGACTACACCGGAACCAACGACACCAGAACCGACTACACCGTGCCCAACTACGACGGAACCGGATACTCCAGAACCCACGCCGCCACTACCGACTACACCGTGTCCGAGCACGACCGAGCCAGCAACGCCGTGTCCTAGCACAACAGAGCCAGCAACAC